TTAGTTATTTTTATTTATTTTATTTTTCTTTAAATAAAAGATCTTTTACTCAATACTCATCACTTTAAAATTTGCTACAGCTTGATAGTTTTTAGTAAGTTTATTACAATATCTAGGTCAACTATAAAAATGAATACAAAAGACTCTGAAAGGTTTATCTTAAGAATAAATTAGTCCTAAGGTTGAAATAATAATCTAAGCATCTGAGTATAATTTAGTAAGTTAATACAGGTTACAAATTCAGAAGGTTTAAAGTAGAACATCCAAGCAGAGATGTTAAGTATAACAATTGGTAGAGAACCTTCAGATGGACTTTTTAAATAGGTAATATAAAAAAGTTACACATGTAGCCAATTGTATTCTCTTCTGTAATAGTTTATAGAATCACATTACCAATAAGTCATTAATAAAAGTCAAAAGACCAAAGAGGTCATCTTAACACCAAAAAAAAAAAACAATACTTTATTGTAGAGCAAACAAAAATTTTGACATGGTCAGTAACAACTGATATAAATTTTAAAACAGTTCTAATAAGTTAAAGGCTCAATAGTCTAGATAAATAGTTAATTAATCATATTTGGGCTATTTATATTTAGATGAGTTTTTTATTAACTTGTTCTAATAAATAAAAGCAGAATATATATATGCAAATAGAGACTCTCAAAAATAAAAAGAAAACAAACATACACTATAAGAGATAAAGTCAAAGCAATTTATACAATCATTGCCAACAAAATATAAATTTTGGCTTTACCTGCTTAGCCGATTCTGCAAAATTTTTTAATGTGTGAGAAAGGCTATTAATTCAACCTAACATGAATATAACTTGACTATTCCTTAATCTTTAACGATTATCGGAAAAGCTAATGCGGTTAGAGATTTTAATTTATTATGTATAATTATGGTACAATTATGGTTTTATATTCATCCAATATTGAGAAACGACTAGTCACGAGAAGACAGTCGCCATGTGAAAAAAATGTAGTTATAGCCGATTTTTTTCGATTAACTTTATTTGGCGATCAAAAAAGATACACAATAAACAAAATTCTAATTTCAATAAATTACTGAATTAACAAATTCACATTGCAATTAAATTACATTCTATAATGATTAAACCCATTACACTGCAATTGAAAAATAACACTTAATTACAATCTATAATATTAAATCTTTTATACAGAAATTAACAATAACCCGAGTGTTTGTGCATATGGCACTAACATCCACCGTGATACGAAATAAAAGAGCATACCGAACGCTATGGATATCGGTAATGCTGGTAGTGCTTTTTGATAAATTGCAAGTAGAAAAATAGTGGCATTGAGACCCTTTGTTAATATCAATGGAATTACAAAAACATGGATTAGTTAAGAAAAATATAAAAATACAATAAATATGTATCGCGGACGGTGCTTGTGGTCAATATTGAAAATTTTATTGGTCAATAGTGATCATTCTACGAAGATCTTATAGCCAGCCAATAAAATTGATCTTCACACCATCCGTGACATTATATCATAGGGAATACTCTACCGTTAGGACCGCCACAACGCATGCTACCGTTGTTATCCAATCAAATGTAGCTAATTATTTAGTGAAGGGTAATTAGGAATAAATTAACGTTAAAGAATCCAGTGTTAGATATATTGCAACAACGAATATTAAACATCGCATACCGGCTTGTGCTACCAAAACACTATAAAACACAAAATCACCCAGTCCTAATTTTAATCCATTTCTTTCATCTAAATATTAAAAAGGTTAGACTTGTGAAAACATATACAAAAATTTGAAAAATTGATAAAAACCTTCTTCATCGTCAGATGACACATTATTTTCAGAAGGATTAACGTTAGGATGAAGCGAATCAGATGAATTATTAACCTCAATGTTATTGAGAGGTCCAACGCCAGCACCTCTACTATAAGAATTATGACCTAAATTTTCTGATAAAGGTATTTCTTCTCCAGGTGGAGTAATATCAGGAGATGTTTTTGTAGATGATGTAGAATTTACTGATGAGATAAATGATGAAGGAGAAGAATCAGTATGTGTAGATAATGTGGCAGGCGAAATTTGAGTCGAAAGTTTTGGTGCGGCCATAAACCAAATAGCATTTACTGATAAAAATTTATTAGAAAAAATAAACATCGATTAGTTTACATGAAATATATTAATACAATATATGGTTGATTATAAATAATGTTGCGGGTGAAATTACAATTAAAATCCAAAACATTTCACTAGAATAAAATAATTTCACCAAGGCAAAAAACATTTCACCAGAATAAAACATTTCACCAGAATGAAATAATTTACCAATGCAAAACATTTCACCAGAATGAAATAATTTACCAAGACAAAACATATTAATAAATTCAAGTTTAGCCCTTAATAACATAAGTGAACGAGATCACTTTTCAAATATTTCGCCAGATAAAAATAATTTCATCAAAGGTGAAATATTTCGTTTAGCCCGCAACATTAAACCTGAACAATTAGTACCAGTATATAATAATGCCGGAATTTCACGTTGATTCTTCTTTGATGATTCGACAAGAATACGTAAAGGTCCAAATGGACATAGTACAGCAATAAGATCTTTGATTATTAGAAATTCAAAGTCAATCAATGTGATATAAACATTGCAAACCATTTTATATTTAAGGATGATTGTCTAATATATTACCCCAAATAGCCAACAAGCCTAACAAAATCCACGTAGTATATGGTGATAAACCAGTCAGGGAAAATGCCTATATAATTAATATATATCAGCTACAAATGTTATAAGAGCTTATTTGAAATATAGCAAAAGTATCCACCATCAAACTCGACATAATCGTCAAATATGCTTGCTGTAACAGTAGAGGACCTTTCCAGAAAACAGATATAAGGCCCACTGCTGTGAAATTCCATAGGGCGAATACAAGGGTGATATAATCCAATGGTAAGGAAAGAATAGTTATAATATTCCTATGAAAAGAGTAATTGATGAGAAGATTGCTTATAAAGGAAATTCTCATGTGCTTAAAATGAATACGTACCATATCAGAAGGTATGACATAAACGCAAGAGGAAAAAGCACCACAAACATAAAGAAGCCTACAAGGATCTGAACATGTGCGAGTTAGTATATATAACTGATAAATAACACCAAGATATCAATATAACTCACTTTTGTAAATCCGTATTTAAATAGAAATACAATTACAACTGTGGCCACAATAATTTGTCCAATAAGGATGGCTGCCATATAAATAGAAGAGGAGAGTGTCGATGCCAAATTATCACTTGAACTGCTCGACATTTGGTTACTACTTCTGTAAAAGGTAATTAGTAATTAAAAGATGCAACTGAAGTTCTAATCAAATATAAGCAGCTTTCTCGTCACCTCACCCAAGCTCAAGATAGGTTGGTGCTTTGGATAGTTTTACCCAGAGGATAGATAGTACAATACATAGAACTACAGGTTTAATAATTTTGTAGACTTGTTGCATATAGAATCTGAATTCATAGGCTTGGTCGGCATCAATTACCGGAGATGGATCGTTTGAATCAGGCTATCGTTGGTTAATGATAAATAAATAGGGTTTGATACAATTCTTATAAAAAACCCCGTATAAACATAACCATACTTACCAATCTTGCAGACGTAGAAGACGTAAGTAAATCTTGGTTCGATCGTCGATCTAAATTTCAAAATAAATTGATATAAAATCATAACATTATGAAGTAAAACTAAAAAAACAAATGTGCTTACGTTTAAGGTTGATAAGTTGAGCAGCGTTTCCTCTACTGTAAACTTTACTACTTGATCTTTTAAGGATTCTTGAATTTGTTTCATTGTCATGTTCGTCAGGCTCTGTCTCTGTTTGTTTGCACACAGAGGCGTGCACCTTTTCCCAATGATCGGTTTGGCATTTCAGAGAACAATAACGGGGACCTGTTTGTCCACATGCTTGACATAAATATTTTGCTGAATCCCCACAATTTACACATACTGAATTCACTAAGACGGCCTGCTCAAGATCAACCGACGATTCTTGTGAGGCCATCTTGACTTATTATATTACCTCGAAATAACTTATAAAAGTTTCTGGAAGAGTAGGGGTGGTTGTTCAACGTATATAACGTATATCGAACATACGTACATAATAAGCATTTTTTTTTGTGGAATAGGGTAAATTTAAAGTTATGTTATACGTACTCTATAATTAGTCATAATTTAATTAATTTCGTATTCGTATTCGAGTTTGATCCCGTTTTTTATACATTTATACTGATGGTAATTTATTGTTATGCAACATTGCATTATCATAATGTGGGTCAATATTAATAACCCCGCCCTTTTTCGCTCAAATGCATATGGTATCTTTAGGTATTTTCTAATTTTGGTTCTAATTTCAGTTTCTATTGGTCGCAGGAAAATTAGTAACTAAAAAATTGGCATATTAGGAAAATTGATAATCACCTGATCTAAAAATAGATGCCAACATAATTTACAAATCTGGTTTATTATTCTCTCAATAAACCCCATTAGGCTAGCGATGTGTCATTGATCGGCAATTCGGCATACACTATCCGAAACGAAATCACGAAATCAGTTGTGCAAAATATTGAAAAAACTACGACAGTCATATACGATTGGGGTGTACGAGTACCCTAAAGAATACATAGATAGCTCGGATCTGAATTGGTATAATTTATATAAAAATGCAATGTTTGATGAATTTCAATACAAAATTTCCTTTTTAGGGGTCGTCTAAAGTCATGTACCCACGTGACTTTTTTAGTAAATCAACCAGTCAAAAAATGGATTTACTTATTTCTGCAAGTGATACAAGCCCAAAAAAGGAAATGATTGTTATTTTACTAAAAGTACATGAGATTTGACCAGCGTTAGGGTTAGGGTTAAGGGTTGGTATTGAAAGGTCATATAATAAAATTTAGCCAGGAATTTTTTTTATTAGGACGTAAAATGTGATTTTCTAGGCAAAATTTTGAGTTACCAGCGATGTTTTGAAAACCTTCGATCTCACGTTACACAACTATCGCACCTGATCTTGCGATCGACATAGAAAATTTTCCTTTTTGGGCAGAAATAAGTATACGCGTCAAAAAATAACGAAACCGCTAAACCTGTCTTGAGGCACTAATTAAAATGTCGGGAAGGTACCTATATCCCTTTTCTCATACTAATACCAAGCAAACCCTAAATTTTAATTAAACCGATTAAACCGTCGAAATCACGTGGGTACATGGCTTTAGCCATCCATATAATTCTTCGGAACCGTTTAGCCGTTTAAAAATTGCACCATAGTTCCGGGCAGAATTATGTTGGTCGTGGGCCGGAATTATTTTAATGCCGGCCAAAT